ACCGTCGGAAATTTGCATGTTTTCTTGTAGTGATCACAACTAGCTATTGTGGTTGACACCGGTGGAAATTAGCACTTATACGACCAAGTGGTAAAGTATATAGCACTTATATAATTAAAAGTTGCAGTTGGCAAGGTAACTGAAGATGCTAATAATGGAAAGGAGAAAGGGTTGAAGCATATACATTTAGTTATGAATATGTTATTTTTGAGCATTGTTGAGCCCAACACCAATTGTTTAATTTCAATGGATTGTGTGGAAGAGATGGTGTGCCATAGTGATTGTTGCATATTTAGCTTGGGGGCAAGTTGTGCTCATGGGAGAAGGAAAATGAGCCTAAGAAAGAGACAAATAAACATGCATAAGACAAGTGGGTTTTAGTGATAACAAAAGACATGTTCTGTTTGTTGGGATATCAATCCAAATCTCTCATCGCAAGTTTAGACATGAATTGTCTAGTATATAAGAGATATCTAACTCTAATTAGTATGAGGCCTTTTGGGAAGGAGCCCAAAAACAAATCTGCGCGGGCTTTGCCTCTGGGCCTAAAGCGGACAATAGCATATTAAGAAGGGAGTTGGACATGGGCTTGAAAAGCCCCACAATTGGTATCAGCGCCTAGGTTTAGAAAAAGAGGATCTGGAGAAGTGAGTGTGGACTGCAAGTTTCGTTGTGGAAGGAGAGTCCTCAAGGTGACCTCGCGATTAAGAGTGTCGGTGCCTTGTGTTGAAAGTCTTCCTGACTACCTGGAGGTTAGGCGGTGAGTTCCGTTGGTGATTACGGCGGTACAAGATGGGTGTCATGATTCGCTAGAGGGGAGGACACATGTTTGTGTGGTCCTTCGTTTGATGGAAAGATTGTTGGGATATCAATCCAAGTCTCACATCAGAAGTTTTAGACAATAATTGTCTAGTATATAAGAGATGTCCGACTCCAACTAGTATGAGGCCTTTTGGGAAGGAGTACAAATCTGTGCGGGTTTTGCATGTGGGCTCAAAGCGGACAATATCATACTAATGGGAGAGTTGGACATGAGTTTTAAAAGCTCCAGACTGTTTGGGATGGAGATATATATTCAAAACCAGAAAGACATATAAGCGCAACACTACTAGCACCAAAAGAAGAAGAAATTTGCTTTCAACATATTGTGTTGCTGAGATTGATTATTTTCATCTTGAGGACAAACTGTATCTCACAAGGGAGAAATTGATATTCAAAGAAATAGTATGGATAAAAAAAGAGAAGAAGTCGTGGGAGAACATAGCCCAGTGAGAAGTAGTTAGAAGAAGAATATCCTATAAATAGAGGGTCTTAGCCATTGGAATTTGCATTCGAATATTTTGGCATTTCATACTTAGAGTTGTATTTGCTCCATTACTCAATAAAGATAAGAGTTTTACATCATGAACCTTTCAGTATACTGTACAAATAAGGTTAAATAATTCTCTTTTTTCAAGTCAGTAAACATTTAATGTTCGATACTAAAATTATAAAAAGAATGTCATGGTAACTTATTCTGTTTTTTTTTTTCTTATCTATTTTCTTTTTAGTTATTATTTTCTAATCATCCAGAGGAAAGGAATGTGCTTCCATAACATGTTTGTTCTATGTCTTGTGGATTTTATTTCTCTACGTTTGATCCCACTATTCCCTCAAAACTCTTGGACACGCTCGGTGTATTTATTAAGTATATCTTAACAACTTTTAGCAGTTTTGACCTTATCTTCATTACCACCACTTTCTTGGATTTTGTRTTTAAACAAGTTGTTATCTTCATGAACTTATGGCATAATTAAAGAACATGGCAAGATTGATACGAACATGTGTTTGATTAAGCGTCTGATGTGTGTGTGCGTATGAAAGAATGGTATGGGAGATGTTAAACTAAAAGCATAGATTAGTACAAGGCTTACAAGCTTAATACGTTTTCTTGATCTTTATACGATAATTCTTAAACATATATTAGTCCATAAACAATTTTCTTTTTTAAAATCAAAAGTATATATAGACGTATGCAAGGATATACAAAGAGTATATATATACCCTATATTCATCTAATCTATAAAACAAACACCACCCCCCCCCCCCTCCCCTC